CTGCACACAAACCTTTTAGACAGAGTCCGACGCTTATTAAATAAAGAGCCCCTATTGTGGGTTTTTGAAAATGACCTTCCATGTAGCTCTAAGTGAAGTGAAATATCCAGCTGAGAGTTAAATCTGAAAGTGGACAGTTTTTAAAACTATTGATTCATCTAAAAAAAAAGTCGACTTATAGTGATTACAATGAATCACTATAAGTCGACTTATAGTGATTACAATGAATCACGATTACAATGAATTACAATGAATAACGAGTCTTTAGCAGTTTCGGCGTGACGTGGCTTCAAAACATAAGCTCCGCCCAATTGTTGCACATGCAAACTCGGGAAAATTTAAACCTGCAGCCCCGCCCACTAACACAGCAGCAAAGACAAACAGATCCTGAAGTCATCATGAGTCATGAAGACGCTGTGCTGACCTGGATATCATTGGAAGTGTGAGGGAAAGAAGTGATTCAGCAATCTACACGCTTACAATAGGTGGTTCAGTCGTTTGTCAAAGGAAGGATCAGAAAAGACTACTGATGTATGAGACTTGTCAGATGAATAGACAGACAATACAGCAGGGGTGCGTGCAAAATAAGGCCAATTTATTAGGCACATAGGCAGCCTGCTGCAGGTGAGGAGAAGCGCTGGTAAGCGCTACAACCCCCTGGCTGGGGATGTGATCGTTGGGCAAAGCAGAGTACAGGTAAGCCCTGGGAACATATAACACTTCACGCAAGAGGTGCCACAGCAATGACTGCAAATAGAAATGATCTAAGTTACAGCTGAGAAGGGAGAAAAGCTCCAAAATGAAAGATCATTAATGAAATCAGACCTGGGCCGTGACACATTTCATAACTGTAACTAAAAGGTTGTCTCCTTGTTTTCTCCAGCTTGCTAATGATGTATTTAATTTTGTTTTGTTACTTGTAACCGCTTGCACTCTATGTGGTTAACTCTTTATATTCTCATATCACGTCTAAAGTCACGCTGAAATGCGCCGCGTGCCACTGTGTTTACAGATTTAAAGGGCCATGACACCCCCCCCTTTCGGTTAAAGTCTACTTCAAAAATTTTTTCAAAAGATGCATGATTAATGGGCGTGGAGCTCCGCGAGCAATCGGGCAGGATTGGGCGTGGCCAGCAGGGGAGAACGTGAGCGAACAACTGTTGTAGTCAGTCGGCTCACAATATGAGACCAACCGTGAGGAGACGCATGAGTTTATAGTTTACAAAGTTAAAATGCAAAGAAATGAACAGTGCTTTAGTGCCCTGCTACATTTGTTATTCGTAATTTCATATACACATAACCACAATTTATATCATTATAAAGATAAGTGTGTTCATGTAAACCCTATAAATGAGGATTCTCCCTCAATCCCCGTATCCAGCAGACTCAGTGCAGCAGGTCTCCTGACCTGTCTATTTTAACCATTAGCCCTGCTGGTAATCTGGAGGATTTAGGCAAACACAGCAGCACGGCGATGTGTCTGAATGTGAACGAACTCCTGATAAAAGAGAGCGTCCGCCATTCTCTAATTCTCGTGCTGCTCTCCCGACAAAAATGCTAGCAGCACACACACAGCTTTGCTGTATGATCTGCCCTGACAAGATCGCGGGGGAAAACATGCAACAAACCCCGTGGATCATGGAAACAAACGCATATGAGCCTTCATGAACGGCTAAAAACTGTGTGCTTGGGTCCGTGTCTCAGCTCGGGCTTGACTCTGGCAGGTCTGGCAGGTCTCATGAATAATTAAGCAGCCGGCTCTTCTCATAGGATAAGAAAACTCCGCTATGAATAATAATGAGAAAACCGACGCGTCATCATTGCACTTGCAGTACTGCGCTACATCGCCGATTTTGATCCCGCCCCAAAAATCATTTTAAACCCGGAAGCAGAAATCAGCTGACAAAAGCTCAAAATTATCCAGTTTTCCCCACAATTAAAGCTGACAGGTGCTAACATTGTCTTAACTGATGCTCAACACACACAAATCTGTTAATATAAAAAAAAAGTTCTCCAGTGTGTCCTGAACCTTTAAATGCGTTTGTGAGCTCGCGTTCCACTGCCGATTGTCGTTACTGTTCCTACACACGTTTAGTGGTCAAGGTTCAGAATAGTTCAGCTTTTCCTGCAGTGTGGATTAATACTGAATGTGTGTCATAGTTAAGAATGGAGCAATATGCTGGTGTTTGACTACACTGCTTTTGGTGGTAAGGTGTCTGAATAACACTGTTGAGTAAGTTTACTTGAGTAAGTTTTGTCTTATTTTCAACTCCGAGTTCTCCTTTAAGACGCTCCAACCAATAGCAGAACAGCAACTAAGTAAGGCTCCATCTGATTGGTCAAATTTAGATAAACAACCAATGCATAAAATAAATCACGCATGTCTTTGAAGCATATATTGCATACACTCGAAATTATCACGATAATGATCATTTTGCAATATATTGTCCAGCGCTAATAAAAAAGGATAGTTCACCCAAAAAAACTTTCTGTCATCTTTCTTCATCCTCCACTAGTCCCAAACCGGATTAAGTTTCTTTCATCTGTTGATCACAAAAGAATATAAATTGATGAATGTTGACATTCACTAGCCAATGACTTCCATAGCATTTTTTTCAGTGCAACAGCTTTCACTGCTGGCTTCCACACGACTGATTTGTGTTGGGACGAAATAAGAATTAAGTTAACTTATTGGTTTTCAAATTAAGTGGATTGAACATCAAACAATTAAGTTCTCCCCCCAAAACTCAAGAATTGTGTTGTTTCAGCTCATTTTAAATAAGTAGTTTGAACAAACAGCATAATTGTTTGAGTGTCCTTCAATTAGCATTCTTCAAAATATCTAGTAAAACAAGTGGAGGATGAGGAAATGATGATATAATGTTCTTATTTCAGTGCACTATCAGTGTAAGGCCCAATCCCAATTCAATTTTTGTACCCATACCCCTTCCAACTACTGAAGCGACCCGAGGGCTTGACAAACCACGCTGAGCATTTTACTAGCCCCTTTCACACATACAGACCTTTCCGGAAAATTGCCGGCAATTTTCCGGAAAGGTTGTATGTGTGAACAGGCCCTTTTTGAAAATACCGGTAAATTCGTTCTGGCTATTTTCCGGAAAGAGAAGTTGTAAGATTACCGGCAATTTGCCGGAATGCTGCGCTGTGTGAATGTAGAAGGAAGATTGCCATAATAAGCGCGTGCACGTCTAGAACGTGCTGACGTGAGACGTCTGCTTTAGCCAATCACAACAGTCAGATGCATTTACGTCCGCGCGGTTTGTGAGAATAAAAGCCTTTGAATATTTTTCCAGACACATTTAGCTGCTAGAAGTTAGTCAGATCACATTTATATGTTCATCTTAATGCCAACTGTGTAAATAATCATCGATGAGATGCTTATGATAAGCCGTTGTTTGTTTACCTTCAAGCTTTGCATGTGCCTGTGAAACAGCCTGTGAGCGCCTGCACACACACATATTATGATCTCGACATGCGAAAGTGATCCTGCGAAAGTTGTTCACAATATTGATCATCCACAGAGTCTGTAATTTAGTCAAATGTTTACAAATACAAGCGCAGCCGTTTAAAGCCCATTTGTGGTGAATGATGTCAGAATTTCCCGGTATTTTGGAATGAATGTGTGAATGCTCTTTTCCGGAAAATTTCCGCAATGTCCTCGCCTGTGGGAACAGCGCTTTTTTGAAAATACCGGTAAAGTCGTTCCGGAAATTTTCCAGATATTTACCAGTATCACTGTGTGAAAGGGGCTACTGTCTCGCGCTGAACACTGTCTACCAATCACAACAGGCTGTCATCGGTCCAATCAGCGCAGATTAGCTTTACGCTACGGAGGGGTTTGGCAACAAATAAATCACTGAACGATTCATATGGGAGTCGCTGGGATAATTAGGTAAAAACAAATGCATGTTATAAGACCATGAAAGTGTTTTTTTACCTTGCATGCAGATCAGTATGTTGCTGGAGACCCATATAACCAAAATATGACCCTTTTTTAATGTATAATATGAACTCTTTAATCCATTGCGAAATAATTCACAAAACAATAAAAGATGAAAGTGTAAATATTGAGTACATCCCATCCTTAGATTCAAGGGCGGACTGGGACAAAAATTCAGCCCTGGCACTGTTGCCACATCAGCCCACATTACCGCACTGACACAGCCCCACCCACAGACACGCACATTCACTATTTATTTTGGTGTAAAGATGATGAAATAATATGACATTTTTGCACCTTGGATTGGGTCGGCCCATCTTGAAACCAGGCGGCAGTTGCCGATTGGGCCAAATGCTTAACATTTATTATTATTATTATTATTATTATTATTACCATCATCATAATATCACATCTAGCAAGAGATAAAAGCTGTCTGCACTTAAAAACAATACATATTTAAAAAAAAAAAAAACTGACCGGCCCACATTTAAAAATTGGTCCAGCCCTTCTGGCATTTGCCAGAATTGCCAGATGGCCAGTCCGCCCCTGCTTAGATTTTGCAGAGAGAAAGGAGAGTTGCACATCATTATTAAAGAGCTGCGGGATTATCCAGACACATTCAAAGTTTAGATGTCCATGGCTTGGTTTTATACTTTTCTAGCAATACTGTAACCACACATTAAAAAGAAGACCACCAATTTCAGTGAACCACCTGACCCTGAACAGAGACTGGCAGTTTGTCTAAGGCACGGAGACACAGACAGATACCTGCAAACAGACACACATGCACACATGTTTGCTGTGTCTTTTCGTTCCACACTTTGCTTATCACACGGGCTTTGTGTTGTGACACCAAGTGGATTAGAGCAGATTTGGAAAATTTTAAAATCATGTTTTCCTCTGCAAAAATACTTTAACTCAAATGGTAAAACTTGCTGTCAAAAGTCCAAGTCATTTTTGAGTTCAAAGAAATGCATGAAGTGATTCATTTGTGCTGTGAATAAAAAGTGTAAGAGTTCTAAAAAGGGAAGCATCAAACCTCGTCTGGAGGCCTCGAAGCTGTCAAAAAGGTTGATTCTCTGGATGTCGTAGGTCAGGGTCGTGTTGGGCATTAAAGTCCTGTTTCTGTTAATGTTGGTCACAGCGAATTTGAAGGCAAGTTCCTCCACGCTAATCGGTTCATTCTCGAGCGTCTCGAAAATCCCACCTGCACACACAGAAAAACCCAGTTAAACACAAGGCAAGGCAAGTTTATTTATATAGCACATTTCATACACAATGGTAATTCAAAGTGACTTACATAAACAGGAATAAAAGAAACAAGAATAAAAACAGCAGAATAAAAATGATTAAAAACAGGTTTTAAAAGAATGAATGGCATAATCGTGCGATCTGACAGACGCAGCACAGTGCTCATTCAGTAAAGGCACAGCTAACAGATGTGTTTTCAGTCTTGACTTGAATGTGCCTAATGTTGGAGCACATCTGATCATTTCTGGAAGCTGATTCCAGCAGTAGGGGGCGCTGTTAGTCGCTGAAGGCCGATTCACACTGCTTTGACTGAACTCTTGGAATTTCTAGTTTATTTGATCCTAATGATCTGAGGGATCTGTTAGATTTGTATTCAGTGAGCATATCTGTAATCTAATGTGGTCCCAGGCCATTTAGTGATTTATAGACAAGAAATAATACTTTAAAATCTTTTCTGAATGTAACTGAGAGCCAGTGTAAAGACCTGAGGACAGGTGTGAAGTTCTCTGAATTTCTGGTTCTGATTTTCTGGTCTTTATTAGGAAGGCCGGTCAGGAGTCCATTACAGTAATCCACCCTGCTGCTGATAAAAGCTTAAAGGGTCACGAAACACCAAAACACATTTTTTGAGCTGTTGACAGTCGTATATGTGTCCCACACTGCTAAAACACTATTAGGACACCTATATTTCACTAAAAAGTGTAAATTGGTTGTTTTTGCGTTATTTCAAGCAAATTCGTACTTCCTGTTTGAAACGAATTTTTGAAGCTGCGTCACGGTCATGACATAATAGCGTGTATTCCAGCGTGCAGACTGGGCGTCTGTGCCTGAGTGTGTCTTATTACGTCTTACAGTGTGATGCATTGATGCATAAGTAAGGCTTGGTTCAAACCAATCAGCGCGCTCTATTGTGCAACTTCATTAATATTTATTACTGTCATAGTGTTTAGACGACAGAGACGCCACGTTGTGTTGGCAAAACAAGCGTGAAGTGTTGCTTTTAAAGTTTGCTGCAGTTAAGTTTTGTTTTCATTTTCTCTCTGTGAGAGCTTATCTGGAGTCACGTGTGGATTAACAGTGTACGCGACGCTCGACAACAATAACTTACGTGTCTAAGGAGGATTATTGTTTACCTGAGAGCTGTTCTCATCTGCAAACGCTGAGATCCGGATTCGCTTGTAGTCTCCTCTTAATAAAGACGCGGCTCTAGTTGCTGGTGATTGTCCTGTCTCTACAGATTTGGTAAGTGAGCGACTAGTGCTCTTTGTTTATTTAGTTTGTTCGTATCGAACTAAGTTAACTATTGCACCGAATGCAAACATGTTAGCACCACAACCAAACTTTAACTTTGTGTAGGATTTTCACCGCATTTAGTGACGGAATAACACACGCGGCTTTCTGACACCACCTGTTGAGTGCATCTAAGTTTCTGGGAAATGCTGAGGGTTTTTTTTCTCATTCGCCGTGCGGTATCAAACATTGCATGAATAATACACGCTTAGAGCAGTTCCTCCAATCAAATATCTCGTGTGTCGCGAGGGGCATGAATGAATTCCCTGAATGAAAGAGCCAAACTGCAGTTAAAGTCCACCATTTAATAATTTGGCAAATAATTCGACTACAGACGTCCATGTAAACACAGTCACATTGTCCCCTATGTGTGTGTGTGTGTGTGTGTGTTTTGACTCTGAAAATCAGCCGCGCGTCCAAATAGACACTCCCACACCATGCCTCTTTTCTTCCTCCGACACTCCCCCCTAAACAGAGCTGGACACGCCCACTTTTCTCACTTTTTCCAAAGTAGAGGTGTGAAAACACACTGCTGAAACAAGGGGGTTTCATGGCCCTTTAAACAAGTTTCTCTAAGTCAGAAAATCCTGCATGCTGGACATTATCAGTTTGGAATATACCACATTCAAAATAAATGGCTTAAGACTTCCAGTCCCATTCACTTCCATTGATTTTTAGAAGATAAAAACGGCTGGTTAAGTTGCTTGATGTTGCAAACGGATGTTTTCTTATCACATTATCCTACTTTGTCTGTATAGTCATGAACACACTTGTTTGTAGAGAAAGAAGTTTGACCGTTTTCTGTCATTTATTACTCCTAGTCATTCTTTCCCATGGGAAACTGAACTTCTAAAAGAGCACAATTCCACATTGCAACGTATGCCTATACATGTGTTCCATGTACAGTGGATCTGGAAAGTATTCATAGCGATTCACTTTTTCCACATTTTTTTTATGTTACAGTCTTATTCCAAAATGGATTCAATTCATTCATTTTCTCAAAATTTGTTCACACAATACCTCATAACGACAATGTGAAAAAAAGAGTTTTTTAAATTGTTGCAAATTTATTAAAAATAAAAAAGCTGAAAAATAACATGTACATCAGTATTCACAGCCTTTGCTCAATACTTTGTTGATGCACCTTTGGCAGCAATTACAGCCTCAAGTCTTTTTGAATATGATGCCACAAGCTTGGCACACCTGTTCTTGGGAATTTTTGCTCATTCCTCTTTGCATTACCTCTCAAGCTCTATCAAGTTGGATGGGAAGTGATGGTGTACAGCCATTTTCAGATCTCTCCAGAGATGTTCAATAGGATTTAGGTCTGGGCTCTGGCTGGGCCCCTCAAGGACATTCACAGAGTTGTGAAGCCACTCCATTGATATTTTGGCGGTGTGCTTTAGTCATTGTCCTGCTGAAAGATGAACCGTCTCCCCAGTCGGAGGTCTGAAGCACTCTGACGCAGGTTTTCATTCAGGATGTCTCTGTACATTGCTGCATTCATCTTTCCCTCTATCTTGACTAGTCTTCCAGTTCCTGCTGCTGAAAAACATCCCCACAGTATGATGCTGCCATCACCATGCTTCACGGTGGAGATGCTATTAGCCTGGTGATGAGCGGTGCCTGGTTTTCTCCAAATGTAACACCTGGCATTCACTCCAAAGAGTTCAATTTGAGTCTCAGCAGAACAGAGAATTTAGCTTCTTATGGTCTGAGAGTCCTTCAGATGCCTTTTGGCAAATTCGTCTGGCCACTCTACCATACAGGTCTGATTGGTGGATTGCAGCACAGATGGTTGTCCTTCTGTAAGGTTCTCCTCTCTCCACAGAAGAATGCTGGAGCTCAGACAGAGTGACCATCGGGTTATTGATCACCTCCCTGACTCAGGCCCTTCTCCGATGAAAAAAAAAATATATGGAAAAAGGGAAGCGCCATGAATACTTTTCGGATGCACTGTATGTTCAAACAAATAAAGAATAATAAAAATGACTTTGGTCAAAGAGAAGCTGAAATGATGCTCAATCTGAAAATCATCTGCAACACAAAGTGCTAAAAGGGGGGAAAAATAAAGCTATGTTCTTCCCAAAGTAATGTACATTAAAATATTTTTAAACTCATAATGGATTTTTAATGGACAGCAAAAGTGGAGTCAAATGTACTTTGGTAAGATTAGTTTATATGAAATTTCTAAATCATCTAAAAGCTTCATTACAAATTTCAAATTTACATTGGACTTTGTATCTCTACAATGCATCTAAACTACCTTGATGTCAAAATTACATCAAATTGGTGGATGAGGAGATTCCCCCAATCCGTAAAGCACTTTGAATGCCCAAAAAAGAGCTTTATAAATGTAAGGAATCATTAATTATTATTACTATTAAATTAACATCTAACACTGTCGTCTAAAAACACATCAAAAATCAAATATGATTTTTAAAAATATAATTAGTTAACTGTAGAGTTTAAATCATGCTTCATTCAAGACCAGATATTTCTCCTAAAATCAGCTTAGAGGTCACAGTGGAAACAAATGAGACTCATGTCTAAACCTCACGAGGACAGCAGCAAAAAGCTGCAACTGAAACAATTATTTCTCCAAGACACAAGTCATCTGTCAGTCACATAATCTCTTTCAGCATTGCAGAGGTTTTTCTTTTTTTGCTCAACACAAAAACAGTTAATGGATTTTTCGGTCATGACGTCTCTAATCCTTAAATGACCTTTAATCTACATAACAGAACAGCTACAGACAGAATAAAGCAAATGAATAATGTGAAATCTGCTTTAGGGCAGAGCAGACACGCATACTTCAACACAAGCTGGAAGTCAAACCTCTCAGAAAACACATTTGACCTAAAAAGATGCACTGCTGAATAAACACTACCTGACAAGAGTCTTGTCGCCTTTTCAAGTTTTAGGAACAACAAATAATAACTTGACTTCAAGTTGATCATTTGGTATCAGAAGTGGCTTATATGAAAGGCAAAGGCCTCTAGATTGTGCTGATTTTACCAACATATGCATGATAGTGAATTCTACCTGATGTATGCATGATGATAGTGAACTGAGCTCATGATCTGAACTGAAACAAAATGACTTAAGTGACAGGCAGCAGGGTCCAGCTAATTCAGCTCCCCACTCAGGCCACATGTTGGGCTCTTTATAGAAGATAGATAATGGGTCTCAGGGCAAATGATCCACCCAGAAATCACCAACCAGGCTCTGCAAATAACTAAAACAAATCAAACAAACCTGGTCCAGCACGGAATGTGTGTGTTTTTTGAATTCCCAGGTTCTGCAGGTTGCAATGTCACGAATTTTGCTTGCCAATCTTAAGCCAATCGTAACAGATTGTTTTGGTTCAATTTGGAATTTCCTCAACAAGAGCAGAGTCCAGGAGATCACGCTGTGAGTGAGTGCTCCGACTTGCCACCCCTAGTTCACTGGATATAACAATCAGTCTGACTAGATCATCTGGACTGACGTTTAGGAATGGGCAAATCGATCCTAAGATATCGATATTTTCATCCCTGGGAATGTATCAAAAGGATCGATCCTTAAGTAAAAATATCAATCTTTTCTGGGGTTTTTTCTTACTGAGTGATCAGAGATTTTAGAATATCTCAATAATTGTAGCTCTGCATATTATACAAATATTTA